AGTTTATATCCTTAATACATGGGTCATACAAGAGTGAAGTGAAGAATGAAGTCAGACATACAAGAGTGTTCACAATACAAAAAATCTAGGTTAAAACGAGTTCTTAAAAAATCTACTCTTAATATTCACATTGCTTTCATATGAAAAACGTACAATTTTCAAGGATAATTTAAATGACGTGGCGTTTCCATCAATTAAAATGCAATACAATTTTTAACTATATTTTAAGGTAAATTAATTTTTTACAAGTCATGGGATGTATGAATAGCATTTTAAACATATTTTAGAATAAATTAAAATGACAAAAAAATTAGTGTCACATCATCACCCCACATGATGATCCAAGTTAAGTTATTCAGAAGGAAAAAAAAGTTTTTCAACAAACTGCTCCACCTCCAAAACAACTTTCCTTTCTATATGACATCAAGTCCACTTTACACAATCCAATCAAGTGTCACTACTTTTTTTCACTTACTATCTAGTTTCATAAAAAAAATATGGCATTTTTAGATGTAAAATGAGTTGTGGATGCCATTTATGTTGATTTTATGAAGGCCAATCGAATGTACAAATGAATTCTGTAAAGCAAACCAAATCATGTTGCTCAGTGGCATCTCATTCCCTTCTATTTCCCACCATACAGCATTAATCAATGGCGCTTAATCAAAATATCTGTCATATTAGCTCATTAATCAGCAACAGCCTGCAAGAAACTTACCATGAGATGAGTTATTGCATTCAAACCAGTCTAGAAATATAACAGTCTAAACCCCACTTTTAATCACTTACCCGGGTTAGTTAGGCTGATGAGGAAGCGACTTGCTATGTGTAACGCAATCCATAAATGAGTTCATAAGCAGTGATACAGACTCTCTCTATTTTGGCTAAAACAGTGTTTCTCAAGCCTGGTCCTGGGCGCCCCCCAGCACTGCACATTTTGTGTGTCTCCCTAATCAAACACACCTGATTCAACTCATTAGCGCAATAAAAGAAACTCCAGGACCTGAAATGGGTGTCAGATAAGGGAGACATACAAAATGTGCAGTGTTGGGGGGCACTCAGGACCAGGGTTGAGAAACACTGGGCTAAAAACTCAAGGTAGTGCGCAACACACACCTCTTGATTCGCTGCAGGGAAAACATCTTGCACAATGCAAATGCATGTCATTACAGATTTACACCTTGGGTTTTTGGCAAAAGTCTTGCTGTTCTTATAAAAAAAAAAATCAGCTTGTATTCTTCTAAAAGTGTGATTGTAGTGTTAGTTAACATGAATTTTGGCACTCCATTGGCAAAATGATGAAAGTCCATCAGAAAATATTAATAGAACCTGAGAGATGTCAACATAAACATGAATTTGGCACTTACATCTCATAATTTCATGCCTTGTTGCAAAGTACAGGGTAATAAACAACTATAAACGTTTAGTAAAATAATGCACCAGAATTAGGAGTTTCTGGGACTGAAGTTGCATATATTAATACACAATTCGCCAACTGTTAAATGCCACAGCCGCACAACATCTACATTGTTTTCATTTGCAAACACAGGCATCCACTGCCAAATCACACATTAGTGGATTTTAAGGTAACCCCCACCCCACCGTGTGGTTCAGAAACAAAAAAGGGTGATGCAATAAAATGTATGATAAATATTTAATCTTCGCGATAAGTTTTAGCATACACACACTTGCAAGGATGCCTCTCCTGCCAATGCTAAGCTCAAGCCAGCTAACAACATCAACACAGCGCCAACAAACCGCTCGATTTTCACTCACCGAGTGCCTGGATTGTGGAAACATCATGTCAGTTTTGGTCTTCGGGGTCTTGCCTTCTCCTCCTCAAAAAACAAGGAAGCAGTTTGCTCAGCAGACGGTTATATTTGTGTGTGTTTTCTTTGTTTCGTCGCTAGCTGAAGCTCCTGTACTAGCTACAGGCAGCTCGCGCCGCTGCTATGGCAATAAAGCAGCCTGATGTGTGCCGCACTGAGCGCGCTCTTTAACACGCATTCGGCGTGGAAAAATTATCCGTAGATGATTTGCTGGATTCTGTCGGATTGATATGGTGTCTTTCCTGTCCCTTTTCCACGTTGGGAATGAGCTCAGATAAGGGCTGGCGTATCTCTCCTCCCTGGTTGGAGGAAATCGAGTGGCTGTGCAAGAGACGAAGTGGAGTTTGGGAGCTGATGGCTGCTGCTGCTGTTTTTCTTTCGTTTTTTTCTGTATGTATGCATGTATATAAAAATATATACTTACGCTAATGATTAGATTATAATTACACTAATAAATATTAATTTAGATAAAATATTTTGAATATACATCAAACCAGCACCAGCAAACAGAATATATATATATAGTGTTTCCCATTCATTAATTAGACTGTGGTGGCCTGCCACAGTTTCATAATAAACCGAAGATATATTTATACTTCTCATATAACATAAAAGTTCTTTAACGTGGTGGTTCACGCCATTGCTTTGGCAAGTATCCGTCAAACGAATTAAAAACGAAAGCGTAATATGACTTATCAAGTCTGTTTGCGCTGCTTGTTTCAAAGTGAAGCGCACGCGATCAGCTCGTGATCCGGTGCTGACCCATAAGCGCCACCTGCTGTCAGAGAGTGAATATGCGTTCTCATTCAGCCTGCCTGTTTCAGTTTCATGCAGGGTTTATCTTTATATCTTTGTTTGTATCGTGATTAAAATGCAGTGACTGGTTCTAATTTCAAATTGCTTTTTTTAATTAAACATGTTTAGTTGTTGGTGTAGTAGCAACTGCCCGTTTTTTGGCAGTTTCAAGGAAAAACAGTTTCATGGCAAGGAAAAATATTTATGGCCGGTACATTTTCTCCAGCCACTGGCAGATGTGAAAGTTAGTTTTAGGCCCTGCTTGCAAGTGTAGAAATTAGGTCAAAAGTATCATTTAAAGTAGAATCATTTAAAAATCATATAAAAAATAATTTATATTTATTTCACAGTGCAATTGTTTTACAATATATGATATTACTGTCATAGGAATCATAATATAAAATTATTATTATTATTTTATTCTAATTTGGTTGGCTTCCAAATTCACCAGTGAGACTGATACACTATATCACAACTAAAAAGAGGGTTGAGTCCCCTTTAAATTTCAAGAACAACTACATTCACCAGCTTTCTTCTTTTACTTTGCACACTGAACCTGTGTTAGAGCTCTTAATTTTGAACTCTCAAAGTGCACCAGATTTATGAATTTAACTTTAAAATGTACACAATTCTCTTACGGGGGGGCCATGTCCCCGGACCCCCCTAGAGGGATCGAGGACCACCCACCACAGTCTCACAAAATCCTGTGGGAAACACTACAGAGGCTGTTTGTTTAGAGCACAAGGCTCGCTATATATATATAATACAAATGTATATGTAAAATACATAAAATAATTCATTTTATTTTTGTTCTATCATCTAAAATTACGTTATATATGTATTCATAAATTTCTCGTAATATCATTTAGAAATACAATTATATAAAATATTTTATATAGAAAAATATAAAATATTATAAAAATCTATTTGCATAAATATAATTTTTATAAAATATTTTAATTTCTAATAAATTTAAAACAGCACCAGCAAACAGCTTGAATATACATATATTTGTATATGTTTAATTAAATTACCTATATATTATTTTTTTTTAGATAATTTTAAAGATATTTTTAATATCTACAATTTTATTTGTTTTTGATGTACATAAATATTAACATTAAATAATTGTAATATGTAACTATCAAACGGCACCAACAAACAGCTAAAATATGATTTAATCTATCTATATATTCAAACATTTAAATAATGTGATATAAATATATGCATCAATAGAAATTACTTAAAGGGGTCATATGATGCGATTTAATTTTTTCCTTTCTCTTTGGAGTGTTACAAGCTCTTGGTGCATAAAGAAGATCTGTAAAGTTGCAAAGACTAAAGTCTCAAATCCAAAGAGATATTCTTTATAAAAGTTAAGTGTCAACCACGCCTACCTAAAACGGCTCGTTCTAACACGCCCCCACATATGTCTGATCGGATTATTCTGCAATGATTTTTGAAATATTTACTTCACCTTTGTGATGTTCAAATAAAACCTCAAAATCAAATATAGCATACAGCCATCTAATAAATATGCTGAAATTAGATTTAATTACACCTTTGTTGCTGAAGTTACATTATATTTATACAAGATCGCTGTGCTGTGTGAAACATTGTCATGTATTATCATTATGACTGCAGGGACTCTTAATGTAGATGATGTTTCACCAGGAAGACCATCTACCTTATTCATCGTTCTTGTAATAAAAGGCATAAATAAAAGCGCAACACAGACACAAACATATAGGAACAAATTTTATTCCAATTTAAAATTGATTTTTTTTTAAAAGGAGAAGGCTATGAAAGTCATTTTCATGTATGAATGAGGTTCAGGCAAAAGTGGTTGAAATGAAACATACAAAAAGAGAAATATGTCTAAAATACTGTAAATGAGCAATAATTAAGCCCCTTGTCAGCAGGGTTTCGCGGATCGGATTATTCTGCAATGATTTTTGAAATATTTACTTCACCTTTGTGATGTTCAAATAAAACCTCAAAATCAAATATAGCATACAGCCATCTAATAAATATGCTGAAATTAAATTTAATTACACCTTTGTTGCTGAAGTTACATTATATTTATACAAGATCTCTGTGCTGTGTGAAATATTGTCATGTATTATCATTATGACTGCAGGGACTCTTAATGTAGATGATGTTTCACCAGGAAGACCATCTACCTTATTCATCGTTCTTGTAATAAAAGGCATAAATAAAAGCGCAACACAGACGCAAACATATAGGAACAAATTTTATTCCAATTTAAAATTGATTTTTTTTTTTAAAAGGAGAAGGCTATGAAAGTCATTTTCATGTATGAATGAGGTTCAGGCAAAAGTGGTTGAAAAGTCCGACTAATTACATATCTGGTCCATAAATTACATAAATAAAAAAACTATATCGATTTCACCATATATAGCATTTTTGCGCTGAGTCCCAAGTGAGTTTACGAACATTTACATCACTGGATATTCATATCTCATAGGAAAGGCGTTTATTTGATTCCTTCGGTCAAAGATTCAAAACTGATGTAACGAAGCATGTAAACAAAGCACAATCTTTCGGTAATTATCTTTGAATATTAGTTGGATCTCTTTAATTATACTGATTAAAAACCCAATACTGGCAAACATCAGACTGGAGGAAACAGTTTGCCGCCTGAATGATAATTTGTGGATACAGAAGTGAACTGGGTGTTTTCAGAAACAATTTCGGGAACTGAACGTTGGGGAAAAAAATAAAAAACTGGTGGCTTTCATTACTCATTTTATCGGTCACTTATTACAAAAAAAGTCACATGGTGCACCATCTCTTCTCCAAGTACTCCAGTAGTGATGGGGAAATCTCTATACTTCACTCCTAAAATAATATTAAATCAAATCACCTCCACCTCTAGTGTTATAGCATGTGATTGCACAACTAACACCTGGTTAAATTCAGTGATGCAAGGTGAAGTCCTTCAAGAATGTCGCCCACTCTTCGTTTCGGACGTGTTGCGTCTCCACCGAGTGTTTCCATTAAATTCGTACCTCAGTTTCAATCAGGTAGAGCCCACCTACAGAGCAAACGAATGCTCTTCGTCATTAGGCACCGGTTTAACAGCCCAGCCTTCGTGTTTGAGGAAGATTGGACGATAAAGCTATCAGCTGGAGGGTTCGACACTCAGGAAGAGAGGAAAGAACAGGCAAAGAAAAGGACTATGAGAAGATCCAGTGCCTAATGGGTGTGAAGGTGTGTCCGAACGGTTCACGTGCATGTGTTTCTGCGTGTGAGGTGTGTAGTGCTTTCGGCCATGTGTGGGGCTGCAGGTGTCTCGCTCACGTTCCGTCTCTCTCTCACACTAAGTTGTACTCTTTGAGGTTGTGCTGCAGGATGGTGTCCTTGACCGCCGCGAAGACGAAGCGGATGTTTTCGGTGTCTGTGGCACAGGTGAAGTGCGAGTAGATGATCTTGTCACTGTCTGGGTTCAGGTCCACAAACATCTTCAGGATGAACTCGCGGCCCGCCTGGGCGTCCCTCTGCGGACCTGTGAGTCAGTAAATGAGATAAGCATTGATTTTGAAGACAAAACGGGCTATGGAAGTGTATTTGGAAGTGGTTGCAGTTCACAAGTCTAACACATGGTGTCAGTGTAGGCTTCATTGTGAAAAGACTGTTACCATCAAATTCAGGGAAATAGTCCACCAGGTGAGAGTACATGATCTTCTCCTCCAGAAGGTCCTTCTTGTTCAGGAACAGAATGACTGAAGAGTTCTGGAACCAGGGGTAGGTGATGATTGTGCGAAACAGCGCTTTGCTTTCCTCCATGCGATTCTGCAGAATTCAGAAACAAAAATACAACAATGAAAGGAGTGGCCCAGCTTCAACTTTTGCATCACTAACTGCGGCTAATGCAAATCTAGCTGATGAACCTCAATGACTGAGGAATGTATTTCCAAATATACTCTATTATACTCCTATTATATTACTCTATAATACACAATTTATAAAATAAAAATGCTATAATACTAATAATTAGAAATTAAATATTTAAATGAATAATGTCAAATTTTTACACATTATAAAATAAATAAATTACCTAATACTAATAATTAATAAATACATTTAAAATGTACGAATACATTACAAAAATCTATAAAATACAAAAAAAAACTGAAAAAAATTAAAATGTATAAATATATAATAATGTAACAATTAAAAAAATTAATTTTAAGATATTTCTACATTATAAAAACTACTAAAATAACATACATTCATATTAAATATGAATAATTCAAAATTATATAAAACAAAGTATATACATTAATGAATTCCTTTGATATATACATAAATATAAAATGACTAATACTAGTAATATTAATACTAATAAATAAAAATGTATAAATATAATTAAACATTAAAATAGTTTGTCATTGCACAATTTTTATAATGCATAAAAACATTCAAATTAATATGTAATAACTAAAAAAAACTATATTACTAATATTGATTATAATAACTATTTTAAAATGTATAAATATAATGTAACAATTGAAAATAATGAAATTTATAAGTGTTCATTATTCATTTGAATATTTATACATTATAAAAACACCACATCACATCAATATTAAATAATTCATATATAAAACAAATGATATACATTAATGAATTCTTATTTTGATATATACATTATAAAATATATAAAATTACTAATTGTACTAATTAAATTGTATAAATAATTAAACATAAAAAATGTGTAAGTGTACATATTAATTTGAATGTTTTTATACATTACAAAAACTATGCAATAACTAAAAAAAACTATAATACTAATATTAATTATAATAAATAAATAAATACAAAACGCGATTTAAAAAAATAAAATCACCTCATTGTCAGATTCCACAAGGACCTGGTCATATTCGCTCAAGGCAACCAGGAACATGATAGACGTGACGTTCTCAAAGCAATGGATCCACTTCCTGCGCTCTGATCTTTGCCCTCCCACATCCACCATCCTGAGACAAAGGTGGCAAAATAGGAGTACACATAAAAAGAATGGTTTGATGATTATGATGACAATGAAAAAGGCTATGCCAGTGGTGCTTATTCATAAAACCAAGTTATGCCAACATTTGGCTTTTGAGAAAAGCCAATTCAGAAAGAGGTTTGCAGTTTTTTGTTTTTTTTAAATCAAATTAAATCTAGAGGCCCTGCAATTATGCCACCAAAAATAAATGGGTCCGTAAGGATGGAAACCACTTGTCATACAAAATTAGATGCATCTCAAAAATCACATGTCTGTTATCATTATATTAACATTTTGGCAGGAAAATCATGAGGTTAATTGCATTACATCTGGAATTCATTCTCACAAACATGCACAAATTAAGTTGTGACTGTGTGGTTTCCAGGTATCAACTGTTTGGATAATAAAACTCCGACTTGTGAGTTTCTAAGGTGAACTGAACAGGACCAGCTCAAAACATGACAGCAGAGGTTAAACCTTCCCAATTTAATTCAAAGAATTTCAGAAGTATCGAAACATTACAATAAGCACGTAATTATGATTTCATCATGCCGCTGGAGAGTTTGAGGTCGGGAGAACAGATCTACTGTCAAGTATGGAGCCGGTCATCTTCAGTTCTGGTAAAATTATGGCGACATTGGAAGCAGTGAATTTCACAAAGGAAGCAAAACTAACACACAAACATTTATAAAATGCACCACAAACAAAAAGAGAACAGTAGAGTTTCAGATGTACGCTGGGATTAGTAACATCTATACAAAGACAATGAAAAAACAGACAGGACGGACGGGGTGAAAGAGCGAGGAAAAAGCGTGTTCACAGACTTTGCCACTGTATTAGTAAAGCCCTGGGACAGATGGAAAAACAGATAGTAATCCTAAGGTGCATCGGGGCCGACCAAAACAAAAAATGTTTTAATACATGCTTCTTCACAACAAAGCAAAATTGAAGATGAACTAAACATTTAGTCATTTATCAGACGCTTTTATCCAAAGCGACTTACTACATTCCTGGGCCTTGTTGTATCATGAACAAAAATTTATATGACGACAGTGATGGTAGTTATTTATTTATTTTCATTTGGAAAACCTCATTGAACAAAAAGTTTCTTCATCGAGGGGCTCTGCTGGCCTTATAGATTTGTAGAAAATTCACTTTTTAAATACTTTTCAAGCTAGTTTGATAAGTAACATTATCTAATGGCAAATACATATTTAACATAAATCATTTGTTCTGCAAGTCGTACGCATTCCCACCACATTTTTTTATTAAATGGCCGACTCCTTTGTCTAACTAAAGTGAATTTCATAGCTAGCATTTTATGAATACTACCAAGTACATGCAATTAAATAATATTTTCACACTTCTGCATCATTCGACAATTGGAGCTTGATGACAAAAAAAATGACAAAAGTATTAACTGATATTTAATGTGATTTTTCGGCTTTTGCCATACGTCAAGCCTCAAGCATACACCACGTTTCATCTCAAACAAGTAACACTTTTAGCACTTTTTTTGAAAAACAACAAAAACTTTATTTGGAGAAAAACTGTTTGGTGTGACGTAAATAATGCCACATTTCTTAATAAACTGGGGGCTGTTTCATAAAATACACTAAAGAAAAGCAGGGATTAAAGTCCAATACCTAACAAATCAATCGGGGCTAAAGCGGTTCCATAAATGACTATTTAAGTTCACGCAATCTCACTAATTTGATTCAGGTTCAATGAGTGAAGCTAATTTGATGTGCACGCTTATTCTTAAGCAGCCCTTACTATCGATCATGGATCAAATTGATCCACCATGGCAAACAGCGAATATATTTGTGCTGTTTAATGCATTTGAGACGTTGTGTTTTCCTCAGTGCATAACTGACACGTCACAGTTATATTCTTCATCTGTAAATGTTATAAAGTCATTTAAATATATCAATTTTGCTGTCAGGAGTGGGCGAGGCTTATGCTAGTGAACGATCACTACTGCGCGCATGTGCGCTAAACAGACGGAGCGCAATAAATTTGAGTTAAATATACATTTTGGTCAAATATTTGTTGTTGGACATTAAATGTGACATGCAGAATTTTAAACCTACATAAGTGTATTAAGTGCAGTAACTGTAAATCAAATGTAAGCTAGCTAATACAGCCCTAATTACTAGCTCAAGTAATCCACTTTTCAGTTAAAATATAGTTTGTTTTCTATTATTTATTTTCATTTTTAATTTAGTGATTTTAACTTTTATTTAGTGTTTTTAATGCTTTAAATCTTGGGCAAAATACATTAAATACAGTCGGTAGTAGCCTATATTTTTATTTATTTTATTTAAGTTGCATTTTCTGTATACTTTTATTTTTGGACTGATAAAGTCAAATAATTGTATGTGAGAGAGTCAGCGGTAATATCAATGCATTCCTATTGGTCAGTGTTAGAGGAACCTGACCAATTAGCCTGACCGTTAGCCTGCTCCGGACCAGGTTAGTTTCCTAGCAGAAGTTGCCAGAGTGAGCCATGGTAAATTTGCTTTATGAAACCAAATCAAGTGACAATAAGTCAGACTAACTGAAATAAGCCTGGCTTATTTGGTAAACTTGTTTTATGAAACAGCCCCCTGGTCATTATCACAATAAATATTAAAATTATTTTATTTTTTAATTTCTTTGTTATTTATATTATCATGATTTTAAACATGTCAAACTTCCTCTGCAGAGCATTGGTACATTTTAAGATTGAAGTTTTAAAATGATAAATATTGAAGATTGATAAATATCAAATCAAGAAATAGGAAATAAAGGCCTGGTATTTAAAAATAAATAAATACATAAATAAATATATAATAATATTTTATTATTATATAATATTTTATAATTAGTGGATTTTTATTTTTATATATCTCTTTCATTTTAATTTAGCAAATGTAGTAGTTTTGGTAATTTTGTAGCATGTCATTTTTCTTAATTTTTTTAACATCTATAGTTTTATAGATTTACATCAATTTAAAGGAAAATTTTGGAAAGAAAAACTTGGCAACTAGGTGAAATAAATTTTTTTGAATTATTATTATTATTATTATTATATCAAGTAAAGACGCTTTTTTCATATTTTTAGTTTTAATTATATTTACCCTGCCTACAGTTGAAGAAACACCCACATGTAACTGTATTTTACAGGAAAGTGAGCCAAATAGTACAGTCACATGCGTTATATGTTGCATTAAAGCAGGTGAATGACCAAATTGTTTTTTGTTTCACTCTTAATGCAAACAGACAGAAAATGAAAGTGCATTAAAAGAATATGCTCAGCATAGTCAGCAGTCAGGTAATGCTCACTGCTCCTAAAATTAATGGAAATGTACGAAGACAAACTCACTGGAGATTCCAGCTAAAACAGAAGGGAATAATCGGAGGAATTCTCAGCTGTGCTATTTTTTTTTCCCTATCACACCTGCACTCGTGCTCGGTGAGGGAAAACATAAGAGAAGGGTTTTATTTTATGTAGGCAACACAGTCTCACTAGCTCAGTCTCTAGTGGCCAGGCGTAAAGCTTTGATAAATGGACTCCTTCAGGAGCTACAACCTAAAATAAAGCCTCTTCAGCCAGCCTCCGTTCTTGCAGGAGGTACAGCTGACCTACTTACTAGGATAAGCTCTCTTACTCTGGAGGACGAGGAGCCGGAGAGGAAGACAACTCAACCTTGTTACAGAATGTTTAAATGGCTGGGCTTGAGGAGTTTAGTGTGTAACCATGTAGGTTACTTAACCAAAACACCTGTATTTCGTAACATCGCCTACAGGTTATCCGCATTCAGTAGTAGCAGTCACCTGAAATCAAATGTGTTCTACCTTGACATTTACCTGGAATGTGACCCAGTCACCTTCCAGAGTAGTTTGAAAGTGTTTGTTTGTTTTAAATGCAATAAACATTTGCAAAAATATTATTTGTGCACGTCAAGTGCGGATCAAGAGGGAACCTTATTGTAAGCGAAGTTATTTCTGGTGCCAGCGTGCGTAGGAGGGGTTGGACACACTGGCTTCCAATCGATTTGCGGGCTTTTGTGATCACCTCTCTTCAGAGGCTTTCTCTCTCATCTCGGCTCTAAACAGGGGGGTTGTGGAGGGCTTCTCATTGCCGCATCACCTGCCGGAGCCGTGGTTTGTAACCGTTCCCCCTTCAAGGGCCTGAGCTCAAACTCCTTCCTGTGTGGTAATGTTCTCTTGTGTGCAATGGATTCTACTTTAAGGCCTTGAGTTGCAATGTTTAAAAGGTAAAACTGTGTCTGGTGCTGAGTACTGTTAAAGAACTCGGACTGGTTTTATACGGATTTTGTAGTATGGACAATTTTTTTTAATGGCATTACAAATCCTACTAAGGCCATTGCAATTTCTCATTATGCAAATAATAACCATGATTGCAATCTTTATTAAAGAAAGCTTGGCAAATTTGCAGATACTTTCACCAAAGAAAACACTGCTAGCATTCAAAAAATATCAAGTGAAACAAAAGCAAACCAAAACAAAAAAGAGCATTTAAAATAAAACATTATTTAGAGAGAGTTTTGTCCTGCAAAAAACTGCTTAATATATTTAAATAAACATTAAAAGGGAAAAAAAGGCAAAAAAGAAAAGAAAAGCGCAAATCAAATGAAAAGACAATCAAAAAAATGCAAAAAGGCAAAAAAGAAAATGCACATCAAGTGAAAAGACAAACAAAAAAATTTTATCAAAATTAAAAAGAGAATTTAAAAAAAAATGAGACTTCATATCACCGTCTGCTTTTTAAAATTTGATTGCTTAATATTAGGCCTGTCGCAATAATCAATATATCGACTTATCGCGCAATATATGTACATGACCGCAATAATTTTTGGTGACGCAATATATCGCCCATTATATTTACTTAAAAATTAATGTCACCATGTTTTGTACATTCCACTTGCGCATGTGTCTTTTGCAGCTTCTCGTACATAACGTGGTGTAGTCATGAGGTGCTGCTAGTACAAATTTAAAAAATGCTTCTACAAAAAAAAGTTTCATCTGCAGATACGGCCTTGCTTATGGATCTGTGCCTTTGTGCATACGGACATCTGACTGCTAAGTAGTGATTGTGTTTTTCAGCAATAGTGTGCACCCTTAATTTACTGAGAAAAGAAGGTCTGGGAAAAATTCGCATACAAGTTCTTTGTGCATTTTTCTTTTTTTCTACTTGTTACTTTGCACTTTTTGTTAGAAAATGTTTATTTACTATTTATTCAGATTTTTTAAGGTATCTAATATTTTGATACTTAATTTCCATTATCTAAATATTCTTAAAAATGTAAAGTTTGTTGTCATTTGGAAGTGTGTAGGCCTTCTTGCATTATTATGCTGTTACATTATGATTATATATTCAGTGGCATAAAATGGTCTTTAAAATGACAATAATATCGCTTATTGCAATTATTTCTGCCGCAATATATCGCACAACAAAAAGTTGTTATCGTGACAGGCCTACTTATTACTGCTTAATGTATTTAAATGAATATATTTTAAATTCAAAACAAAACCAAAAGCGAAAGGCAAAGGCAAACCAAAACACAAAGCAATATAGTTCTAATGCATAAAAACTGTGTTGCTATCACTCCCAAGAACTTGGTTCTGGTTAGAACATGGATGAACCCTTATGTCTCCAATCATACTTCAATCCCCTGAATTTCATACGCATAAATAACGATAAAGACAAAAAAAAAAAAATGGATGAATGTTAATGAAGTTAATGATGCAAAGAGGTTAATGACTAAGAAGGACATTAACAGCCAGTAACGTCTACTGCTTAATGTATTTAAATGAATATATTTTAAATTCAAAACAAAACCAAAAGCGAAAGGCAAAGGCAAACCAAAACACAAAGCAATATAGTTCTAATGCATAAAAACTGTGTTGCTATCACTCCCAAGAACTTGGTTCTGGTTAGAACATGGATGAACCCTTATGTCTCCAATCATACTTCAATCCCCTGAATTTCATACGCATAAATAACGATAAAGACAAAAAAAAAATGGATGAATGTTAATGAAGTTAATGATGCAAAGAGGTTAATGACTAAGAAGGACATTAACAGCCAGTAACGTCACAGAAATGTCGATAAACTTATCGAACCTTGTTCGTTCAACTGGCCGAAGTGGACCAGATCAACGCACTGATTCGCAAAATGTTACAAACATGAAGACATTAAAACTGGTGGAGGAGTCCTCTCCGACATTATGGTCTACCTGAAAATGATGCTTTGCAAGTCGAAGGGATATTCAATAATCCCTGTGGTAGGGATGCGAACCCTAAGCACGTCTTGCTGAGTCGGCAGATACGACGGGTCTGCGATACGGTCCAAATCACTTAGATAGCTAGAGACAAGGAGAGATGGAGAGAAAGGAAGAAGAAAGAATCAAGCATGGCAGCAGATCCCTTTAAGAGCCTGAGAGCTTTGGAAAAGCAGTGAGGGAACGCCACTCAGGATCCTGGGATGCAACCCCACAACCTTCTGCTTACTCCGCTGATGATCTCTACAGAGAGTTACCCCAAAACAACACTCTTTAAAAGTTGCAAAGAAACAACAATAGCAAAGGTTGAGCCCCGGGTGGGTGTGAGAATGCGATCAGGGAAGGCAGAAGTGCAGTTGCAGCAGCAGGTTAAAGGTCAGGAGACAGCGGCGGCAGTGAGGGTGTGCCATGGGATTGGCGATACCTGAAGATTATATTCTCCAGGTCAAAGGGATACTCTATGATGCCAGTAGTGGGCACTCGGACCCTCAGCACATCCTGCTGGCTGGGCACGTATCCCGGAGTCGATATACGCTCTAAATCGCTAAGGTAACTGTGGGATGAACCGGTGAGAAACAGAGGCATGTACATGTGTGTATATACACAACTATACAAGTAGACCCACACGGAAACTCAAATAAAATTAGCGAACTTTTCATATTTTCCAGGCAGTTTTGGAAAAACTGTAGAACGGATATAAATATGGTTTTAAAAAAAAAAGGTACATTAAAAGTATAAATATGTAAATATTCAAACCTAAAAACAAACATTTTGACTCATCCTCATTGTTTTAGACCCAATTTTTTCGTGGAACACAAAAGAAAATTTAGAGAATTTTTACGCTGCTCTTTTTCCCATTGAAACTTGTCGGGACTTGTTCGGTTACAAGCCACAGTGCGTCAACATTGAGTCAAACCTGGCACAACGCATTTTGACATGAGTGCAAATGAGATTTAAGGAGATTTTCAGACTTGCACTTTGTTTGCTTTTTCCGAAACAGGGATTAAAATGTTACAATAGGTGTGTTTGACTTTGGCTGCGGCTGGAATTCACCGAACGGTGAGGTTTGCCACTTACAGTTGAAGACGTTAAGTCAGACGCTTTCTGGTTCCCAAAGTAATGCTCGTGTGGTGTTTGCGTACTTTATTACATATGAAGTGTATTAGATGCAATATTTGACAAATACAGACATTTCAGACGTTTTTTTGTAGCAACAGAAAACTTTATTCAATACTTCATGCACTGAATAAAGACTAAAGTTGAAGCCTATATTATCTAAATACCAATAAAGTGGGGTCTAGGGGTGTGCCCGAAGCCAAATACTGCATTCTACAGAGCCCCTAAAGGGACATGGTGATGGAAAAGATATGTGATGGGAAGAAAAAATAGTTTCTATGCTTTTGTGTTGCCTCGCAATCACAGTATATAGTTGGGTAATTATATTGTACATCATTTGAAGCCATCAGGGAGCCATTATCAATATGTGGGCTATTGAAATCGCTTTTGAATGCGCGCTCGCTTTTTACTTTCACTTTCGCATTCTCGTTTACATGCACTCTGTGTATAGGGAGCGGCGGTACTGATTTCACAAGACAATATATTTGTCTATGATGCTCAGGAAAACATACACTACCATTTTTTTCTTTTCACAAAGTCACATGAGCAAAAATATGCCATAAAAGTAGCCCACTATAAGCTTTTATTGTATTCAAACAAAGCAGCGTAAACATTCTTTAAAATTTCTCCTTTTATTTAAAAAAAAATAAAAAATAAATTACACAAGTTTGGAACAAGACGAAGATATAAAACTTAAATTCTGAGGAAGTTTTGGTAAGAGCATAGATTCCGTGTGGGTGTAATGATAAGCAAAATTATGCCATTTTTCACAAAAAGGTGATTTTACTGTATTGCAAAGGCGCATTCACACCAAGGACAATAACTATGACAAACTATAACCATATGAGAATATGGAAGTCCACACCACAGCTATAAAAACACAAAGGAAAACACAGCCAATTATATTTATCCGACTTTCAAGGAGCTTTCACATTTAATGCAGCAGACGACAAAACTGCAGCACGCTTATAATAAACAATGTAATTGTCCATTGGTGTGGAGGCTAATATAGTTATTATGTTCTTGGTGTGAACAGGCCATAATACTGCATCTATACATCTATGACTTGTCACAAATATGCTTCTAACTGACCGCAAGAAGAGATGTAGCATTCGACAACTCAATTAAAACCAATAAAGTTAAAAGGAGCTAATGGCTAATGACAGCACACACACTTACTATTTAGTGGAGTCAGAGAGCTGGTACTCTCGCCTGCGGTCGTAGGCTTCCTGGATGCCTGGATCCGCCCAGAGCATCTTTATTGCACTGACATAGGGCTGGTCGAAGGAGCAAACCTTCTCCACGTCGACCTCTCGCACCAGCAGAGCGTTGTTCTATGGATAAAGACACATTACACAGTAAACAGCCCATTTTACGTCTTAATGGCTGTGTAATACTAATGACTTCCAGCGGGGTTTAGAACCAACTAGGTCACAAGTTGTCGAGTTAAAGTTTAAGGATCTTCTTTAGGAAATATTAACTGATTCTTCAAAACCAAAACATGAGAATAATTAACTGTAACCCTGCACTGAAGAAAGACAGCTGACCATGGTGTGACGGCAATAAAATTTACAAGCGAGGCTTGTAGTTCTTTTTATAGCCACGTTTATGGCCTATCTGGTTTTGATTTGCATCTCGACGTGCACTCTGGGCATCAAAGAGATGATTACAGTGCAGTGACGGCCAGGGATTGTTCAGCGTGCAGCAGTCACCTTGTTGTCTTCGTATTTGAACGGGATCTTGAGGTTCTCGGTGGCACGGATCATGGACTGCATGGAGGTGAAGATGTTCTGGTAGACCAGTTTGGTGAAGCCGCGCTTGTCCTCATCAGTGTAGCCTGTCCCGTGAATGATCCGCATCTGTTTGATGAACGTACTCTTGCCGCTCTCGCCCGTGCCTGAGGATGAGGATGACAAAACAACAACATTGGAACAGGGTTAGATCATATTTTGACTCCAGTTTCATATCAGCCTCTGGATTTTTAAGAGCACCAAGGATATCAAGATCTATCTGGAGCTTTTTTGTATTTGGCTCCAGTTTGGATCCAGCCTTTGGAAGGTTTTAAACGACGACAACAACATTTGCGAAGACTCCAGATGATGCCAACTTTATAAGGATAATAGTTTTGTATGTTGATTCATTCACAAGTTGTAACTGCTGCCTAACACGTTTGTTGTTTGCTTAATGGAACACACAATGTTAACTAACCACATAACATGTCCATATGAAAGTAATATACAGCTATAATATGCTTCAACACACTCAGCTCTGGCTGATAATGGAATACTTATTAATTGTAACATTAAAACAAGTATTTTCTGTTAAGCTGCTTTGAAACTATGCGTTTTGAAAAATCCTATACAATTTTGAAAATAAAATATATTATTAAGATTAAGATTATTAGACAACACTGGTATCATCATTTAATGGGCCAAAATATTAAGAAAAGAACTATGTATAATAATTTATTATATATAAATCCTTACTGTTCTTATGTTGTCAATATTTTGGACACTTTTTCTACACTGAAAATTTATGGTGAAAAATTTTTACTTTGTAATTAATAATCTGTTTTATTTACAACTTTGACAAATAAGTTTTTACAATTTTGTGCTGAAAAGCATCATGCTGTAATCTGTGATGGGTACCAAAATGTGATACATTTTAACTTGGTTTACAATAACCCTATATTGAAATAAATAAAAGTGTAGAAATCTTAAACAGAAAAGCCTTTTCCTTTTCTAAAAAGAGGAGATACAAACTTTTATATGTTTAAGTTCAAGATCTAATCATGCCGTTAATCATGTTAACACAATGTAAACGAATACAGCCGCACTTTAAAACAGAAATCCTATAAAGGAACGTCTCCCTGTGCATTTCTTAGGTGTAACAAGAGATGACTCAAGCCAGTAAAAATGTTTAAGCCATTGCCAAAGTTCAACAATACAACTTCCCTGGAAACTTGGGAGGTCTTGGACCGGCGGGAGGAAAAACAAGTCGAGTAACAGTTCCAGTTTTCAAAATGTATCATGTTCTGGACAATACAGTGCCAACAGTTAGGAAAGTCGTGCTTCGGTTGGGTGTGATAACCAGTCACACAGGTTTTATCTCGGTGTACATATGATTCCAGTATTGACATCCTTGACAACTCCCATTTATTTAAACAAACAAGAGAGACTTAATTCAAAACCATGATCGAAGGCCTATAAATCGTGAATGGCTACATAAGAACCCACCTTTCAGGCAAGGAAACATGGCGTAAATGTGCATATCAGCAGAATGACCCTTTTTTCTTTTTTGTAATTGAAAATGTCACAATACTGTGTTTCTTTTAGGGCTGTGCGATATGGAAAAAAAAAACGATCGCGATTTCTTTGATCAATTTTGCGATTTCGATTTATATCACGATTTTGACACACAGACATGCTTTACAGTCATTAATGCATTCAGTGTGAATTTGAAACATATTTCCAAAAGAAAACCAATTAGAGCTTTATCAAAAAGCTGTAACATGTCTCTAGAACAGACATAAGGCAAAATAATCACTAAGTAAAGGTGTAACAAAATGTCTCTAGAATAGACATATATGGCAGAAGAAAAAAAAAAATCCTGTGTCCAGGAATTTTTTTTTGCCATGCTTGGTCAGAGCTCTTTGTGGCGTTGCCTCAGATGTTGAACTAGATTTGTTGCGCCAAGTTCACACATACTCCATCTGCAGCGCGTATACAGTATGTGTATGCGGTGCAGAAGCAGCACGGACTCATTTTGCTTTCGCA